TAGACCTTAAGTTGCTTCAAACTATAAGAACACCCTTCATATGGAGACTGTGGAAGGAAAATTTAATGCAAAAGTCCATAGGCAATTATATTAAAAGCAAAGTAGTGCCATTTAAATCAGCTCAATGGTGTGTCAGACTCTATGAACTCTTAAAATTACACATTGTCAAAATCTTCGTCAAAGTTGACTATAATTGAAATTAACTTCTAGGCACTGCTAGATAACACGTCAAAACGATATTCTAAGGCTACTTGAATCAGATCTAAGTACGTAATGGACATATTAACACGATCTGCGTGATAAATTTCAGGCTCTCCTCATGTGAATTTTCCAATCTTCTACAGTGCTCATCTCATTGTGCCCATTGAACGTGGGGTCCTTGTACTCTACATAAGTTTCTATGACTTCATACTCTCGCAACAGAAGACTTCGTAAATATGTAATCGCTGTGTCCACGAGCCCATCCACGAGTGCTTTGAGCGACGGTTGGTCCATGATCCTCCTTCCAAATGCTTCCCGTCTTCGTCCGTCGATGTCATGTGCATTGGATATGTTTGCACTTGTAGAATGATCGTTATGAATAAGAAAAGAAAGTTTGCAGCGCCCTTGGATACTTGACGCTGCACAGTACAAGGTCATCACCTTGAAGTCGTTGTGGTAGAACTTCAATGCTGAATAGTACAATTCTGAATACGGTGCGAGCACTTCTCGCGGATATTCTCTTGTTCCACAATACCTACGACCACAAATATACAAACATTGTCGAGGATAATGTTCCTAGCAATCCGGTGCGACATCCACACCTCTGACACTGAGTACTGCACCCTCGAAAACCACTTCAGGTGTGAAAAAGATAGATCCCATATCATTCCATACATTTCTGCCCCACACCATATTGCTTGACGGCCATCCAGTCGTTGAATGAACCATTCTGCAACACATGAAATACAGAAGCAGTAAAAGGCAAGCCAATGATATATAGTTTAACTATATATGAATGGAAGCTCAATGACAAGTAAATGGTACACCAACACGCACGAAATGAGGTCTTCTCAGCGACTTATCATATTGGTCGTCATCATCTGGAAGTGAAAGACATGCCAAGGCTTTCTCTCTGACCGATTTCGGAATGTGCACTCCATTTTCCAATTGCAACGTCCTTGATGACCAGCTCCGCAAAACACAGTTCACGTGCTGCCACTGCTGTGTTGTTGTGCTGTCTTTCTTCCATATCTTATTCCATGCATTTGCATATTGTAGAGAAAGACTTTTAACGACAGGTTGTGGCACCCAATATTCAATAAGAACATGATTGAAAGCAGGCGACTTCTTATCATTGTCAATATTAGAAATGACTCTACCCATCCACACGGGAACTCCCTGATCGATATCATCTTGCGAAGGACGCAAGAGAACGAATTGACCCTTTTCGACATCCACAATCGGGTCGAGCTCTGTTTTTGGACGCTCATTGGCTGACCCAACAAACAACGGCTCCTTATTCTCATTGCTCTATAAAAGGAAGGCAATATCAATATCATCAGCATCGTCCTTCGTAATTCTGTCCTGCGAGGGCCAAAAGTCAGCCATGACTGATGTTTTTGCAAAGCCGGACCCATAATTTTGCTCGATTGTGTCCAGGAAAGTTTTCTAGTGTGAAAGAGCACTCTCCTTTGAGAAGCTAACCTCATCTTTCATTCCCAATCACTCGTGCCGCTTGTTTTTCAACCACTCAACAAACGTCTTCACGCCTTCAATTCCTGATTTGAAATCCGAATTCTTATCCTTAGCGGGTTGACCACGTGATGTTTCTGTAACAGGTCGAACAGGTGACGGGAGAACAGGTGAAGGTTCGAATGACCATTCGGGTCCAGCATATGCTTTATTTTCATCTCGTTTAAAGCAATGGACCAGAGAAGACCAATGCGGAGAAGTGCAATACTCTTTCCACTGGAACACAGGATTGTCATCCTCTATATAAGATCTAAATAAATGTGGCTTTGTATGACCGGTCAGTCTGTTGACCAGGAAGGGCTTAACAGCTCCCCGCCAGTCAGCAATTTCATCCATGAATGTGCACAAAGGACGCTCGTTTTGGGAACTGGCAACGAGTTTGAACAGGTCGAGCATGATATAAGCATCGTGCATTTTCAGTTTGCGAGAGAAATGACTGAAAGTGGCATCAACATCCGTATGTGTATGTCATACAAAAATAAAACCGAATTCGACTTCTTTGAAGAAGCCAAATTTCACCGAAGCTGCGGCCAAGGACAAAACGTATTTGTTTTTGTTTTCTCTCCAGCAGTTGTCGGCTTGTATCCTCAATTTAGGAGGTAAGTCGCTTGTCGTCTGTATGTCACGCATAACTTTCATAACGGATGACACCACAGCACTGGAATCATGTGGATAGCAAGGGTACCATGTGTGAACATGCACCGATGGTGAACGGTCGTGTGCTATAATAGTTGTTAAATTTGTTTTCATCATTGGAATATTCGCGAATGCCTTCGACTTGTTTTCTTCGACGAAGTGTGGAATACTCGTCTTGCTTTGGTCCATACCGTCAATAATGATGTATAAACTGTTGGAACCTGGTCTCTTCGACTCATCCTTCCACACCTCATAAGCAGCACGGTGTTGGAGTTGCAAGTCCAAGTGTTTGTCGCGTTCCGAAACGAAATAATCACGCACATGTACGAACTTCGCAGAATTGATAGATTCTTTGAACATAACATACTTCTCGCATTTCGCAAAGTTTTGATCAACTTCATGGAATGTCACATGCCAGAAGTGTGTTCTCCACATGTTATAGAAAACTTGAAGAGAAACAGAAGGGACACCCAGGTTGTCAAATTGTGACTTCAACAACTTATAAATGTCAACCTTGTTATAGAAAGCACGCAATCTCAAAACCACTCGTGATTCTCCATCTTTGATCCTCATGTCATTGGGCATGGAATCTCCATTGTCACGCACAAAGGAGCTTAGTTTGCCGAACATCGTCGCATATGTTGCAGATGTGCGTCTGAGTCCAGTGCTGCCATGCTCCGGCATAATGTAACCTTTTGACAAAGTCACATTTTTTTTTCAAAAATGTATTCCTGCACACACCCAGTGTGAAACACCATGCACTAATGCACACCTTTTTTTCCCCCACAATAGGTTGTACAATCTCTTTCTCATCTTCCACGAAGGTGAACCTCCTTAACGTTTCAACCCACCATGCATCTCTACTTTTGTGATCCTTACAAATATGCACTCTGGACAACTTTGATGTCTTCCATGGTCATGTGAGCGCAACAATCTTGTTTACAACAAACTTGTCCGCGTACACTTGCCAGTGTTTTTTTGGTGAGCTTTCTGTGAACTGTTTGCATAATCTTCTTTGACCGAGGCATTCTGACACGGAAAGTATAAGGACGCTTCTCCGACGACAAACGTTTGGGGAAAATGTCATCAAAATCAGAGATGATATCAAAATTCTCCATACCGTTGCGACAGTAGTGGTCAGTGTCATCATCATCGCAAGGTTGTGGATGATCAATTTTGTCTGAAGAACTGTTGGCGTCAGATGACATCGAAGCACCAGACTCCGAACCATCTCTATCACTCTCGCCAAACAGAAGGTCTGCGCCCTCGAAATCTTGTAGCGAACTTCTCGGCACCCACATGATACGATCTACATCGGATGTGTTCCTGTCACCGGAGGCAGCCCTACCCTGACCTTCCGAACCTTCTACATCAGAAGTTTTCACTAGCCCGCCCAAGCCTGGAGATGCATCTTTGCATGTGGTTTCTTCACACGTAGCCATCCGGGACCTTTTATGATCAAGAGATTCTGGAGTTATTTGAACGTCTTGCGAAAACATTGGCAGGTCCAGGGGAGGAAATTCATCACTAGGCAGTATATTAGATGCCACACAGTCCATGCTTTCCAAAGTTCTGCTGGCAGCTTGCCGCGGTGCATGCCCACCACAAGCCATTTAAAACGTTTCTGCGATGACAAAACAGTGGACCACTGGCACAAGACATACATATCGGTAACAAATCCGCAACTAGATGGATCACATGCGGTATATGTAGAGTGCAACACATGTGGTTCAGCGCCGCCACTGCTAGCCACACGTAGTCGATGTAAGGCCCGTGAATGCGGGAAAAAACACAGTCTTCAACAAAAGCGATGCACGAGAGACACTGCGACTGGCTGTCGTGTTGAACGCGATGATCTCCCACCGCGGTTGTGTCCAACACGACGACGCATCATCGCATTGCACAACACGACAGGCGCACACGGCGAGATCCACCGTCACAGTATTCTCACGACAGCGCGCTCATGTCCACCGCCGTCGTGTTGAAGATGACGATGAGCGACCGCCTCCTTGTTGAACGCGACGGTGCTTTGGTGGCGATAATGTCCGCGTTCGACCGTCGCATGTTGAACATTACAACCGGCACGGCGGCTACGAGAGTGACCGTCATCGCATCGAACACGACAGCGGGGTCGGGGTGTGCCACCTCTGTCGTGTTCGACACGATGACAACGACCGTCATCGTGTTGAACACGACGACGTGGTTGTGTTCAGCACGTGGTGTACATGCCCGCGCTCGAGTGTCATCGTATTGAAGACGGCATGCTGTCGCTTTCGACACGAGGACAGCCACCGTCACAGGTTGAGCACTACGGCGAGGTCGAGGGGTGCCACCACGGTCGTGTTCGACACGATGAAAGCGACCGTCAGCGGGTTGAACACGACGGTGGGGTCATGTTCAGAACGTGTTGTACATGCCCGCACTCAACCGTCACCGCATTGAACAAATATACATCAATCTAACTCTACAAATAAATATAACTGATTTTATATGTAACTTATTCTCTATAACTTATTGATACAACTTCTTGGGTTGTGGGCAACCACCTCTGTCATGTACGACACGATGACAATGATCGTCATCGGGTAGAACACGACGGTGAGGTCATGGGGTGCCACCGCGGTCGTGTTCGACACGGTGACAGCAGCCGTCATCGGGTTGAACACGATGGTGGGGTCGTGATCAACACGTGCTGTACATACCTTCACTCGACCATCACCGTATTGAACACGACCGTGGGGTTGCGGGGTGCCACTGCAGTCATGCTCGACACGATGACAGCGACCGTCATCGGGTTGAACACGACGGTGAGGTCGGGCGGTGCCACCGCGGTCGTGTTCCACTCGATGACGACGACCATCATCGGATTGAACACGACGGTGGGGTCATGTTCAGCACGTGGCGTACACGCCCGCGTGCAACCGTCATCGTGTCGAACACGACGGTCGTCGTGTCGAACACGACGGTCATCGTGTCGAACACTACGGTCGTCGTGTCGGACTCGATGATGGACGACTCTGCGAAACTGTGGGAGAAATTCTGTTGACATCCTGAAAAAACACGTATGACGAATAGCAGCAGTGGATGGGCGCGATTGGGGGGTTGGCGCGGGGGGGGGGGGGGGGGGGGGGGGGGGG